TAGTCTAGGGGAAAACTGGGGGGTCCAGGGGAAATTCTGAAACCGGATTCGGATTCAGCGGCTAAAAATCCATGGGGGTAGTATATGCACATGTAAAGTTCATTCCACTTTTTTGTTTTTGTGGGCCTGTGTAATAGTCCTATAAATATGTGGTTTTATTCCAGTAACAGAGCTTTAACAAAACTAATTTATAACAGTTTTATTTGATTTTTATTATCAACTTATGAACGTTCTAAAAACCATTGTATAATAGCAACAAGCAACATTTATAGAACCGTTAAACAGTCGATTTGTTTTGTAAATCTGCCCCAATTCCGTGTTTATAAGGCCTGTGAGAACGTTGTTAAAACGTTTATAAAACAGTGTGTGTTCTGTAAACGTTCTTACAGCAATTAAAAAACTTAAATTGTTAGTTAGGGAGTGGTCCCAGAAATTCTATTTTTTTAATTGTACGGTGCTCTAAAGTTTGACAAAATTATTAACTTTAATAACATTAACAAAAAACCGAATTTCAAAACAATTTACTGTGAGATATGCGTCATGCCTACAATTATGTGATTATTTTCAAAATCGGTGATTTCGGGAAATTTTCTGGTCCCACTTGACGTGGCTTGACTCTGGTGTTTATTATGATTTTTCAGAGTAAAGTTAAAAAACCCTGTTTTAATATATTAAAACAGGTTTTTTTTAACTTTACTATACCTACTACATTATTCTTGGAATGGAAGCAATCATCGGCAGATACAGAAGACTTAATTTACCAAAAAATTAAATAATTAAATACAATACAATAAATTCAACCTTACCTAATGTATAAACCCCCGACTAAAAGATCTGTGTATAATATTCATATGGTAGGATTTTTATAACTTGTCCGTTACGTCATTACTGTGAACCAAATCAACTGTTAAAACAGTGGCATAAGGATAAATGCCTCGCAAATTTAGAGGCAAAATATGATTCGTTTAAGTGCAAACTCATGGAATAATATTATTAAATGAAACATAATTATTAAATTATTGTAATTTTAAATTATGAATTTTTTGTTTCCATATAGCGTAAAGAAAATTCAAAAATTCAAAATTCTACTACTAAAAATATCAAAAAAAAGATCCTAGGTATATTTTAAAAAAATTCGAAATATGTAGGCACAGCAGGTAAAACATTTTTACGGAATATTTTAACTAAAAACTCTAAGAACATTTCCTAAGCGAGATATAGCACTTCTAACCATTGGCGTAACTTGAAGAATGTCCTGGGGTGGGCCTGGGCCCTTCTTTGACAAATTCGTTTTTAATAAAAATTAAACCCAAGTTTGAAAACCTATCCTACGACAAAGTAAATCTTAACCACGTTTTGACACGACGCGGCGCGACGCATAGCGAAAAAGCTTCTTTCACAACCTGCTGAAGTCATTGGAAGAACCATAGCTGCTTGCAAATCTTTATTGATTTTCTTAACAACAGTTTCCAGTTTAATTTCGATTGTTTTTTTTTTCATTACGTTTTTAATTATTATTGTCTTAGCTTCTAGGGCAGGAATATCAATATTCAAAACTATTTTATAAAGATTGTGCCAAAGGCAAATTGTCAAATCTCTTTCTAAAGTTGCTTATAATGTGACATTATAAGCAACTTTTTATTAATGTCCATAACTTGGTAATAAATATTCATCTCTCAATATTCGCGTAATTAACTTATTTACAGATACACTTAATATTTATATTACTTCTGGGGTGGGCACCGAGCAACATTATTAACGAAAATTATTAGAGGGAATCTATGAAAGTTTGTTGCCACTTTTGTAGCACCCAAACTTTTGCAGCACACATACAGTCTAATTTTCAAAGGGAGTAAAAGTTCAACAGACGTACTGCCAACTTTTGCTTGATAAATCAAAGAATTTAAACGAAATTTAAATGTTTTAACTACAAACTGTAAACCCCTACACCCTAAAGGGCCACTAATACAAATAATTAAATTTTTGAAGTTAAAGCAATACTTCAAAAAGTTTTAAGGGCCATTATTAATAAAAAAATGCAACGACAAAATATTCATGCCATTAGTATTAGTAGGATTAGAAAAATTACTCGGCGTAAAATGAATGGTGTTATGAAACAGGGAACCAACCCCCAAATTAAAAAAAATGACATAATGAGGCATATAAAACCACCATTAAAAATATTTTCATTAATTAATATTTTCATCCCATTCTGGGTCATTAAGGCTGGTCCAAGGACATCCTTAAATGACATTCCCGGGATATCCCAAAAGGTTTTTTTTGTCGGCCTATTGACGTCCTCTGGACGTCCTTATAGGATCATCCCAGTTTGGGACATAAGGCTGGTCCAAGGACGTTTGTGCTTGCTGGGTACGCGTCGCGCGTCCAACTTCTCGCTCAGAGCGAGAATACACAAATAGCTCTTAACCATAAGTTTATTCTATTTTTTAAATTTATATTTTGGTAAATACCTAAGGAAAACCTTATTGATTTAGTTTTAAAATATTTGTTACCAAAATAATATATTATGTAGGTGATCGAAAAAGTTTTTATAACAATGCGACAAATGTAGCAAATTAAAACCAAAAAGACTTATTTTATTTTATTTACTATTAAAATCAAAAAGACTTATTTTTTATTTTATTATTAATTTCAGAATAAAAAAAAAGTTAGAAAAAATCGGAGGTTGTATCATTTTATTTATTAAAAGCTTATTATTAATACTTTCTACAAGATATTATATTATTTTTAAAGGTTGTTTTGTCATATTTTTGATTACAAAAATCTTACAGATTGTCTGTGATTTAGGATGTAACTGTTCTTAATATAAAAATATGGGGATAATTTACGTTGTTTTTTTAGGCCTGTAACAGAAGTTACTATTTAAGTTTTCTTTATAAACTTTTTTTCTAAAAAATATTCTTTTTCTATTTTAATTAAGACTTTTATTTTTGTTTTAAATTTGTATACAAAACAATACAGTAAAATTAAAATTTAGTCCTACAAGTTATTTTTTTAATTTAAAAAATGGTTTTGACACAACCATATATTTAACTTGTTATTAACGTAAAAAGTAGCTCCTAGGTGTGCCTTTTAATTTAGTACATTTTTAGTACCTACTGTTCAAATGCGAAGTAAAAAATGTCAAAATACCCTCAAAATATTTTGTACAAAAATAATAAATTATATAGGTACATAATCATCCGTTGCTATCGTTACTGACGCGCCAAAAGTATACTATACTATAGTAAATAGTAGATAACATAGGTGTCAAAAAAAAATTAATTTTACCTTCAAGCGGTCCTCAAATTAAACTTTATTTTAGTCAACACTTGACACTAAAGTGATTAATTATGACCTAGGCAAATAATTACTTCGTTTTGTTTTCGCCAGAGGCTTAGGCGTCAGTAATTGGCCGCGAATTCATTATGCACCGTGTTTGGACAAATCATAAAATTCGACTTTTGTCAGAATATTACAATTAAAATAGTTGTAGTTGTATGCCTAATTGTTTAAGTAATATTACTCTAGTAGTATTGTTTTTTCCTAAACATTTTGCTAGTGGATCTTTTAAAGTTACAACAAATATACTTATAGTATTGTATTTTTCTTAAACTTTTGGCTTAGGCGTCAGTAATTGGCTGCAAATTCATTATGCACCGTGTTTGGACAAATCATAAAATTCGACTTTTGTCAGAATATTACAATTAAAATAGGATAGTTGTATAAGTAATATTACTCCAGTAGTATTGTATTTTGCCTAAACATTTTGCTAGTTTATCTTGTAAATTTACAACAAAAATACTAAGAATACAATTAGATTATGTAAATATCCTTTTTCAGTATAGTAGTTGTCATTCTCGAAACTAAGATTTGTAATTTTATTATACTTTTCAATAGTAAACATTTAGTAAATTGAGCATTATTTTTAAGTTAAAAATTTTAACAGTGTAATTTCTACTTTTAAAAATTGTAAGTTTCAAGTATCGTTTAACAAATAAGTATACTTATTGTACATCAAAATTTATATTTTATAAAATTAAATATCAATGTTTATGTGACTCATTGATCAACAACAAACTTTTTTTCTCAAAAATCAGTATGCCAAAAAAAATTAGTTTTTTAGCGAAAAAAACTAGCAAGGTATAATAAATTCTATTAACCAAGCAATATAAGAAACAAAAAACGTCGAAGTCGGATAGTTAAGTTTTCCCTTAAATTTACAACGTTAGTTAATTTAACCCCGGATGTCTACAACTAATTTTTTTTTACGAAAAGTTATTCAGCAGAAGCCGCATATCAGAGCGGGCCTGGAGCGCCATTGCCATTAAATCCACCACTGGCTGGAATATTAATTATAATATGTATATTATACCGATTTTCTTAAACTAAACTTATTCGTAAACATTAACAGAAAAGTAATATTTGGGTTTGATAAATACCGATTTGAATTATTTTGTTGTCTTATACCATAATGTGTAATTTTATATTATTTTTGTAATAGGATGTTTAAACTAAAAAAAATTAGCCATACAAAACAAATAAATTAAAGACTTTAATTTAAAGCGCCAGACACTTTTTGAATAGGGTTCTTTGTAAAGATCGTACGTTTTGTATCCAAAATAAAACCAAGAAAAAATAAATATGTAATAAAGATTTATGTATTTTGAAAACAAATTTAAATACTTTTATAGCATAAAATTACTGATAGTTTTAACCTAAACATATTTTTTTTCTTATTAAAACAAAATATTAGCCTTGGTTCCAAACCTTATATATGCTTTGTCTAAAGTTAAATAAATAAGCTTTATTTACAAATGCTTTTTACAAATTTTAACATTTTAACAATAAAAGAATACCTAAATAATAATAAATAATTTCATTCAGTATAGGTAGTACCATTAGATTACTAATAATAATTTATTTTGTACACACCATATAAAATGCACAATACAAAATATTAATTTATTTAATTTTAATAAAATAGGAATATAACTTACGGATATGTATAAGAATTATTGCAGTCTTCATCGGAGGCCATAATTTAAATACCACTTAATACCCCTTCTATATAATAAATAAACACTATTTACACATTGTAAAAGTAATAACTTATTTTTAAAATCTTTGTATATTAAACTTAAATTTAGCTTAACTAATGTAATAATTAAACTATAGTCACAACACTCAAAACTATGGACCAATAACATAAAAAAGTACGTAACACTTGTTGCGTCCGACGGAACTTAATAAGCCAGGTGCGCACGAGTAACATACACGTCTGTGCAAATGTTCATACTGAAGTTTTCAAAATCGAATACTACGCTAAGCACCCGCCATACCACGTCGCTTAGGACCTCTAGATTACTTACCTGTAGATGCGCGTGTGCCATAGGCGCGCCAGCGTAGCTTTATTTTGTATTTGAATTTTGATAAAGGTAATAATTTAATGTATTAAGAAATTATCTACACTTTTATACAAAAATATGATACTTATACTAGTAACTACCAACTTTGGCACTAAATTTTAAATAATTATTGTAATATCCATGATTGTTCGTAAATATAAATATATACACTGCTCGTCAAAATTAACGCATAACAAGTAAAAAAAATCCAACTCTAAAACGTCTTTACCAATTATTATAGGTAAAATTTTAAATAAAAATACTTTAACTTATATCTTAGTTTACGTGTTCAAGGGTTTTTAGAAAAAATATCCTTAAAGCCCTTTTATTTAATAATAAAAAGCGCACGAAAGAAATTTTTTATAGGGAAAGTAAATTAAAAATATGCTGTGAAAGACCGTATTTTTGTAAGTATAGATACCCTGAAAATGTTGTACAAATCAAACGAACAGTAACGAAAATACAGCGCCTCAAAGTCATCAAAAATGACCACTTTTTAGCAAAATAATCAAAAAGGAGTAATTTTTACCGACTTTGAAGCGCTATCTTCGTTACTGTTCGTTTGATTTGTACAAAATTTTCAGGGTAAACTAACAAAAATACGGTCTATAACGTTTTTTATTATTAAATAAAAGGGCTTTAAAAATATTTCCTCGAAAAACACTCAAACACGTAAACTGAGATATAAGTTGAAGTATATTTATACAAAATTTCATAAAGATTGGTAAAGGCGTTTTAGAGTTAAATTTTGTTACTTATTATGCGTTAATTTTGACGCGCAGTCGATAAATTAAAGCACATAATTTTATTTTATGTTGGATGTCAAAAATCATTTAATTTGATAAAATTTTCGTATCAAGTAATTTAATGTTATTGTACTTACTATGATAGTGTGTTTGCTTAATAATTGGTAATATGTTTCCTTTTTAAAAATAAATCTTGTAGTTTTAAGGTTTTTATTAATCTTCTAGGTTATAAATAATAATTTTCTCAGGTATTCTTAGTGGTTCATAATTTAGTGGGGACTAACAAAGACACTTTTTTAATATCTTCACTTGATTTAATGTATTTTTTTGCAAATTACCTCGGCGTTCCCAACCTTCTTTATCTCTGGGCGTTCTGAGATGGCAGTCTCATATTTGCGAGTCATAGGGCCGAGCCAACCCAGGGTGCAAAGGGTGCACTGCGCCCGGGCGGTAACTATCGAGGGGCGGCATTTTAGAAAATATTTGTACAGATTTTGACATAAAATATTTGTACAGATTTTTTTTCACGTAACTTTAACAGTATAGTTATTACCAAAGACCGGATTTTTTGGAAATTTAATTTCCAATCCTAATAGGACACATAAATAGGCAATAAAAACGTACATTTTAGGCCGTTTTTGGCCGAAAGTGCCTAAAATAGGCCTCAACCGCCTAAAATAGGCGATATGAAATAAAAACAACACGATTAAACATAACATTTATTCAGGTCCTATCAATAAAAATAAAACAAAAAATACATATGTATCTCTTAATATAAAATACATAATAAAAATAATAACACAAACTCTTGCAAACAATTGCCCGTATGAATTAAGAAAAGGAATATATATATATATATGTATATTAGGCTGCCGTGTTAAGCCTAAAGGTCGTATCTGCAATATTTTGTAGTAAAGGACGGAAGAAAATTTAAATTTTTAAAAACAATAATAAAGTTATATAATAATATATATATATATATATATATATATATATATATAATATATATATATATATATATAATATATATATATAATAAAGTTTTTTCTTTACTACCACAAACTGCCGTTCGAAGACAAAACTTCATATCTGCAATATTTAGTAGTTAAGCAAAAAAGCCATTTTTTATCGTTTTTTAAAATTAAAATTTTCTTCTGTCCTTTACTACAATATATTGCAGATACGACCTTTAAGCTTAAGACGGCAGTAGGGTGCTTCAAAAATTAAAATTTAGTTTTGTTTTTCGCTCTTACCCTCTCAAAAAAAATTTTTTTTTAGATTGTTTTTTTTTCGTTTCTAAATTATTTGAAAATATATTGACTCACCACGCGAGAAAAAGGATGGTACAATTTTGGAAAACTTTTCAACCCCCCCCCCACCGCTGCCTTGTTTTGCACCCTTTCACCTCCCGTCTGCTAATTGTACCATAAAATTAAAATAACCAGAAAATTTGATGTTAATCAAATTTTGATGTTAATCAAATTTTGACCTCGAATAACTCTAGAAGAAATCAATTTATCGAAAAATAATAAGAGACCTCTTTTGTAGAGAGTTACATTTTATATAAGAAACTGCAAAGATCATTGCCATAAGTTACTTTGATACAGAGGTATAAAATTCCAAACAAAACATTATTTTTTCCAATGTTAATTAAATGGGAAACTAAAATAAAAACAGCGACCTCTTAGAGTTGAGCTGGAACGCCCATATTAGGTGAGGATTTTTTTTATATTAAATATAAACATTTGAGAGGGTAAGAGCGAAAAAAAATTAAATTTTATTTTTTGAAGCACCCCTTCCCAGTAAACACATACACGTTTTTTAAACGTATTTAAAACGTGTGAAAGGTCAATAAAACGTTTTACGTAGAAAAAGCAACGGTTTCATATTGGTATAAATTTACACGAATTAATTTAAACGTTAAAACAACGTTAATTTAAATATGCTTTTTAATAGTGCCTCACTTTTACGTTACAATAACGTTGTGTTAAGGTGGTCAATCAACCATATATTTAAATGTCTAATTTAAACGTTAAAACAACGTTTATTTAAATATGCTTTTTAATAGTGACTAACTTTTACGTTACAATAACGTTGTATTGAGGTGTTCAGTGAACCATATATTTAAATGTTTAATTTAAACGTTAAAACAACGTTAATTTAAATATGCTTTTAAAAGTGACTAATTTTTACGTTACAATAACGTTTTATTAAGGTGTTCAGTCAACCATATATTTAAATGTTTAATTTAAACGTTAAAAGAACGTTAATTTAAATGTGCTTTTTAATAGTGACAAACTTTTACGTTACAATAACGTATTAAGGTGTTCAGTCAACCATACATTTAAATGTTTAAATTACGTTTCAACCCACAATTTTTTTTCACAAATATTAAGATTTTTAATGAGAAAATAACGTTTGAAGTAATTATTTTATGAACTGTGCAGGCAGCTCTTTCTAAACTGATGCAACATTAAATGAAATTTAGAAATTTTCTAATTACATTCTAAAGAAAAGAATAAGTAATTCTATAGTCAATAGTCATACAGTAAGCTTTAGGCAGAACACTATACTCATCCACAAATGTTGCTTTAAAATATGCCTTATTTTATTACCATTCTTTAAACTAGACAGTTACTGTAATAGATAAAAATAACGTACGTTTAAACATACCCATATAAAACGCATAACTGAAGAACGCAATCTGATTGGCCGAATACACATCATGTGATTGGGCCTGCCAATGGCAGGCTGCCATGCCATAGCTGCACGCTATGTCAGTTTTCAATTTGATTTTGCTATCAAAAGGTGCATTTTTATCGTGTTTTTTGCTCGTAAGATTCGTCCTGCTTTTGGTAAGTACTTTAATGTAATTGTTTTAAAACATACACACTGTTCTTATTATAATTTGTTAACATTAAACTGATTTAGATTAAACACAATACTCATAAATGTATTGTACAGATGTTAAAATTGTGGAGAGTCCATTATTTCCAAATTTAGGGGCGGTCGTGTATTTTTACCGTAAATTGGAATTAGGCGTGATTTTACTAGAGAATTCTCTAGTAAAATCACACTTAAGTCGGCTCGATAAGATACATTTGCTATGGTTATAGATCTATTCAACAAGACCTTAAGATGGTGTACGTATTGTAAATTAGTATTTCGAGAACACTCTTATTTTACCGGGTGCGCTAAAAATACCGGATTTTTTTTTTATCAAATTTCAGCCCAGCGATATTCTACAATACAAATTTTTGAATTTAATCTGTTTAACAACAAAGCCAGCTGAAAACAAGCTTTTTAAGCCATTTTTTTAAATCTTATAGGGTTTTTCGAAATATTAGTCTATTTTTCATCGTTTAACAAATTTCTTTTTTGTGTTTTAAAAGCAGCTAAATTTTCCAGCAAACGATAAAAATGATTCACCTGAAGACGGCTGGAGAAAAAAATCATTGTCTACAACCTTTAAACACCCTGTATTCATGTTGCAGTTAACGTTAAACGAACGTTTAATAAATACCTTGTAAAAACAAGTATTTGTGGAGTTTTATTTATTATAGAACTAACGTTAGAAAGGACATTAATATGAATTTAAATATAACGTATAGATAAACGTTATAAATGAGGCAAAAACAATCATTAATTTACGTTATTAATAGACGTATATTAAACGTGTTAAATGTAACATTTCAAAACGTGTAATGATCGTTTTCTTAACGCCAAAATTAAACGTGTATTTATTAGTATTGTTAAACGTTATAATCTGCGAGATTTTAAAGTTGATTGTACGTTATAAATATACGTAAAAACAAAATGGTGTTACGGTTTAAAAAAACGTTTAATTAACGTATGTGTGTTTACTGGGTTATATATATTTATAAATATATATTTTCTGCTTTAGGCACGTCTAACTCGCAGCAGGGCAGCAACAGCAGCCAGCATGAATGGGGATTTAAAAAATAATTTTTATTTTGAAAAATAGCAGTGGCGTGCATAATATTTTTCCAAAAATATCTAAATCACATCCTGTACGGACATGTGCCAATGATAAAAAACGATTTTTTTCTTAAAACTTTAACACCCTGTAACTCAAAAATTAACAGGTTTAGGTCATATACCTATAGGTTCATTTGAACTTTTTTTCTTAACATCAACTAAGGACTCACACCCTTAAGGT